TTAATGCGTTATGGAAATGGGTTTATGTTTTCGCGTGGCATGCATAGCTGAATGGCGTTTAAGAATACTTATTTGCGGTGGTCGGTTTAGCTTTCTAGATCCTCTTAGCTTTCATGTAATATAGCGTTTGTTGTTCCCAGTTTGTTTCACATCTGGATTCGAGGAGGTGGATGGTGTTGAGTTGGGATGCTCTCTTCGCTGTAGTTACGAGGCTGATTTTTTTTGGAGCCTGAGAATCCAGGGATTAAAGATGTCTTGCACTCCCGGAGTGTCTCTGTACTTCTTTTCATGTCCTCAAAATCATTTCTCAGTTCAACGCACGGGTTGTTGACCCTTCTCTTTCAAAAGTTAAAGTTATGCACCTGATTTGTGTGCTATCGCGGTACTGATACTCTTTAATTAGGAGCATGAAGCATTCCTATGAAAACGTCAAGTGCTACCGGTAGGAAGCTGGTGTCTTATTCAATTATACCTGGGTGGAGCTTCCCGCACCGGCCAACCAAGCTCGCACAAACAGAGCCTGCCAAGCGTCTGTCTACACGGGTGGTGAGCTACCATGTTGTAATCCGTATTCCGTACTGTAGCTGCACCCAAGCAGCGCCAGCAACATAAATTCTGCCAACGACCCAGAGAGAAGGAAACCGCGTCGGAATTCACAACAAACGTGATAACTTCCGTTCTTGACCTCGATTTCCCGGCCTGCGCGACCGCAACATGCGTATGGTGGCAAGATGAGCGCTCGCGAATTTGAGATCCTTTACAAGGAGACGCGACTCAACCTCGAGCCAGCGTCGCCGTCCGCGATTGTCCAGATTCGGGTCTCGCCGCAGAGCTCCTACGGTCGCTCGATCGCATCGTCCCGAACCACGCATGTCGCAGATGACGAGAAGGGATACCGAACGAGAAACCTGGGCACCGCGTCCTCGATATACTACCGCAAGCACCATACCTCTCCGCGAGGCTTCCACTGGCGAGTCTTGGAGGGCGACACAGTTCTGAGCATTCGCGCCGCCGACGTCTGCAAGCAACGGAGAGAAGCCGATGCGCCCTTGATCCTGCACCTGCGCTTTGCGTCTCCGATACGAATCTCTTGTATAGCCTTCTCCGACACCAAGGAACAGGATGCGCTCTGCGTCTACGTCGTCGACCAGGCGAACCAGCTCTACACGATTACTCTTCGCCCGGATCACTTCAGAAAGAGGTCGGCAAGCGATGGCGGGCTGGGCGACGCATGCAGAACGTCCTCGCCGCCGGGATTCAGCTTCAAACACCCCCACCGATTAGTGGCCGTCAATCCTGATCAATTCATCGTCACAATGCACGACGGCGGCATCTTGAGATTCGACAGGAACCGATCGCATGATTGTAAGGCAATGTTCCCTCGAATTGATGCCGGAAATGGATGATATGGTAGGCTAACTCTTCTTAGCGATGAACAACGGGTCTATGTGGAAAGAGACGATTTATAATGTGGCTGGATGGAGCCAGAGTCTGCGTGGGTTGGTTCCTTTCCAGCGGAATCCGACCATCCGGTACGACAAGATCAACATGGAGCTGGCGGCGGCTACCTCGACGGCGGTAACGACTATGGGCTTCGAAGATAATGCCTTTTTATTCACCATCTGCTTGGATCACCGGATGCGGGTGTGGGATATCAACACCGGCCAGATACTCTACACCGGGGATGTACTGAATGCCACACGGGATCCCCAGGATGTTGGCAAATGGGTCATTGACCCTTCCCAGAGTAATTTGATCCGGATTGTGGAAAAGGGGGAGGGTCACAGTCTGGTGATCACCTTCTCTCCTGTGGGGACCGGTGAGTTCAAGTTCTGGAGTGTCCGAGCGAACGAGTCGGGATCCGTCCAGGTGAAAGATTGCTTCCCAGAAGCGCAGCTGATGCCTCCGAGCCCATCTTCACTCGATGTCTGGACAATGGCGGACTTTGCCGTGTCCCAGCAGGGGAGCGACCCTGAATTGTGGACTCTGTGGAAAAACAACACGACTTACCGTGTTCAGACGTTGCAAGTCCGCCAGCACAGCAGCGCCGGGCCATTCAGCGAAGGTTGGAAGTCAGTTTTTGTCGAGAACACGATACCACCCGTGCAGACTTCCGGGCCTTGCGACCCTGTTGATTCCACCGAAAAATGGCTCGACTTGATTTTCTTCCCCGGCCGGTTCTCCAGATCTACACTCGAGACCGCGCTGGCGATGTACGAGAAAGGGCTGGGAACCTACAAGGAAACCTCTACGAAGGGCAGCAAGAGCATTGCTGAGTCCATATGCTCAGTCCTAGGCTCAACTACAACACTGGACCGAACTTCATCTGGGGGTATCGACTACGAGCAATTCCGGGGAACGAATGATACGCAGTGGATGCGCTTCTGGCGTCTTTTGCTCGAGCTCGACAAGCAAAGGGGCGAAGCGCTGTCCTTGGTTCTTGACGGCAAGGATGGTATGATCTGGGTTGCCTGTGCCGACTCCGTCGCTGCGATCAGACTCTGCAGTGGGCTAGACCGCATATATCACAACCTCCAGTCTCCAAAGAAGAAGGACGAGGACGTGGCTGCGCTGGTGTCCGCCGGACTGACCTTTATGGAGAGCTTTACAGATAGCATGTTACAGGTCAGCAAAGCTGCTTTACGGGCTGAACTATACGAAGACTCGGCCAAATCCGACGACGACCGCATCAATAGTTTCTTCGAGAAAGCCGGGTTCTACCGGCAAATCACCGACGAGGACTGTACTCAGGTTGTAGAGACTCTGGGTCACAATTTCCAGATGTTGACTCCGAGGCTCTACGAAGACCTATTCGACCTGATAACCTCAGCGAGCGAGGCAAACTCCCAAGAGCTTCGGGAGCCTTTCACGCGACTCGGGCAAAAGGTGGTCGTTCGTGCCATGCAGGAGACGGTCGAGCTCCATTCGCAAATACTCTTCAGCCAACTGATCCTGCTTGTTCACATGGAATACGAGAGCGATAGCGATGAGGAAGCCCTTCACACAAGGTTCGACATTGGTTCGGTCTACCGCCGTCTCATTGCCGCGCTCCGTCGGTTGGAGCAGCTTCGGTGGATGGCCAAAACAGAGCTGAGCATTGCTGTGTCAAAATCGGACCGTTCCAGTATTGGGCCGGGAACAGGTTCTCCGACAGCGAAGCGCGGCAGCGAAGACGCATATTCTATAACGGCGCTGCAAGGGCTCACTGGGCATCTATTTGGCCTGCCCGAGGGTCATAGCCAGCCGTTGCTGTCAAGCATCATGGATCTGGTGCTGGACTTCTGCGCTCCGGGCAGCTCGACCGTGCTGGACACCTGGTCTCTGCAATGTTGGCTGCTGAAGCATGACCGGCCGGACTTGGCGTACGAGCTCAGCCCGTTTGCCAGCCAGGACCCGTTCTCTACATACGTGCAGGGTCGCGTCTTCCTTGCACTAACAGACTACGGCACGGCCGCTATATATTTCCGGAAGGCTTCGATCGGCTTGAGCACGCAGATCAAGGACAACGATCGCCACAGCGCCGGGCTTCTGGACGATACCGAGTGGAATCTCCTTAACAGCGGGCTTTCGAACTACTATGCCCACATCGTCAACCTTTACGACAGGCAGAAAGCGCACACCCACGTCATTGAGTTCTCGCGTCTAGCACTTCAGCTTGTTAGAGGCCTCGGTGAGGAGGCGCACGGAACCAAGACTGAGATGCTGAGCCGCCTGTTCATGGCCTCGACTGCGATCGGTCATTTCGACGTGGCACACTCTGCTCTGCTCGCCATGGAGGACGAGGCGATGCAGAAATCGTACCTCCGGAAGCTGGTGGAGAAGATGTGCGAGACCAACCACAACGCCGAGCTCATCAGCCTCCCGTTCTCTGGGCTCCAGACCAAGGTCGACGACATCCTCCTGGAGAAGTGCAAAGCGACAAAGGATGTGCTCCACGGCGTGCCCTACCACCAGGTGCTCTACGCTTGGCGGATTAGCCACAACGACTTCCGCGGTGGCGCCGCCGTCCTGCTGGACCGGTTACAGAAGCTCCGGCAGATGGGCGATGGCGACAAGCTCGGCACCGAAGATGCGCTTGATACACAGGTTACGCGCCAGTATCTCTTGCTCATTAACGCGTTGAGCTGCGTGGCGCCGCAGCAGGCGTATATCTTGGAGGACGTAGAGTCGCAAGCTCAGTTGGGACACCATAATAGCGGTGACGGAACAACAGTAGCAGACGATGTTGACTTGGAGAACCATTTGGATGACCTTGCGAAGAGGCTCGAGGCCGAGAAGGTGGCGGCAACGAGACGCGGAAATCAGGACGGTGATGCTGCGGCGAGAGCATTGCTGGCTAAGATGCGCCAGTTCTCTGCGGCGGTGGGTCAACAGCATAATCAGACACCGAGGGCGGCGGGAGAGAGAAAACTCTTAACACTCGGCGATCTCCGGAAACAGTATCAGCAGGAACTGGATAGGATTGTGGCGATCCAGAACAACCAGTTTGGATTTGCGGAGGACGATTTCATGGATGTTGGTGCTTGATTTGAGGGCAATAAGAAAAGGGAGGTTAAACTTGAGGTATGAAAACAAAAATGGAAATGCAAGAGAGACGAGGGCATATTCATGTGCATGGGTCAGTTAATAGGGATTAGACTTCTTGTTTTCGGCCCCTTCTTCCTTCTCTCTGTGTCTCATGGGTTAGAAGGAAAGAAAGGGGAGAGAGACAGAAAGAAACAACAAACTTCGTCTTGTAAAATTATTATGTTCAGTTTTCTAAACGGGTAGCGTTTCGGTCCAAGGGGCGGTGATTATCATTAGAGACCGCACAATTACCAAGATAGGATGTCCAATGCAGGAAATAAACCAAGTAACTAAACCAAGGTAAAAGGCGCAGTAGTAAGAAAGTCTAGAGGCAGTGACGATCCAAAGATGGACGAACAACTAAACCAGTAAAAAGTATACAAAAATATATATCTGCAGGACCATTACTGATCATTGAAGATATGAGGTTGCTTTGGACGAGCTAAGAATCGAACTCAGGACCTTTCGCATCATGAAAGAATGAATGCTAAGCGAACGCTCTACCAACTGAGCCACACGCCCTTCCTTATAAGAGATGTTCATCTCGAGTCAGTTGTTAAGGTTGGTGTTCGTATCTCCGCTTCACAAGAGGGGAAGACCAAGCACTGTCTACTCTGTTATTTGCTCCACTTCGGTGGAGGGCATACCTCACTCAACTGGTTGGGACGAATAGGTAGTAGCCAGATAACCAAAGCTCAAAAGTGGGAGGCCATTACTTTATATGGCGTATGATTTCCTTCCTTAAACCCCACTAAGTAGTAGTAGTAACGCCTTGCCCATGCTGCGTGTGGGAAACTCCAGCCAGCAAGGAGAAAATTACCTCGCCTGTCTGCCTCCGTAAATACAAGGTTCCGCTAACCTGCCGAATAAAAAGAATTACGCTATTTGCCCAAAACCACAACAAGAGCAACACAAACACACACACACACACACACTCCACCTCTTACCCCTCACCACAGTCTACCCAGTGCCTTTCACGCTGGGACGGAGGTGATTCTGTGCTCTGGGGCTGGTGGTAACCCATCTGGGCCGTTGGTCAGCTCGGGCGCTTGTCGGTAAAGGATAATTTCTGATTGTTTAAAGTATCTCCTCGCATCTACACCGATTAGTCAGTATGAGGCAAGTGGTTCATGTGGTAGTGCGACGGGGGAAGATGACTTGCCCTCATCGATCAGAACCAGGCTGAGGTAGTATCTTGTGGAGAACTTCTTGTTCACATCTCGGAAGGTGGGGGTGAGGTCAAAGCCCCCTAGGAATAGCCGGATGGGTATTGTTTCTCCTCTAGAAGGTGATCCATCCATAATCTGAAGCCCACCCCAGTTAGCAATCAGCAGCAGGGAATCAATGGTTAAGGGTGCGCGCGACCTACCTCAAAGCGCACCAGAGTCTCGCTCTCATTGTATTGATTTGGCGCCGCACCCGTGGTCTCGCGGCGGATTATACTCAGCTCCATATGCTTAATCTTCAGGCGTACCAGGAGGAAGTAGATGCGGCCGACGATGACGTCCTTGAGGTGGTATTTGCTTTTGCTGTACTCGAACTCGATATGGAGACAGTCCTCGATTCCGACGTCCATCTTTATGCTGCTGTTCATCTCGGGCGGGATGCGGTAGCTGTAGACCCAAATGTCCTTCTCGCGGATGACGTCGGCCATGCGCCGCGACACCGTCACGCGCACAAAGTAGCGCAGCTTGACATTGATGCCATTGTAGGACTCGTACTGCTTCTCCACGTTCTTGAAGTTGAAGTCAAACGTCTGCGGGTGCTGCAGCTCGCCTGGTGCCGCGAGCTCCTGTACCAGGGAGAGGAACTCGTAATGATTGCCCCGGTCGAAGAACATTTCTGCGAGGAAGAGAAAGAAGATGGTCAGCCACGTTGCCCAATGACAGGGAGTATGGCCGATGGCGTACCTATCGTGCCAATAAATTGCACTTTGATTCCTGTGTGCTCTAGTCTTTTACCATCCTTCGGTCGTACCGTCACGGCGCCTTTGACAGACTCGCCGTCCATGTATAGAGGTGCCTTCTCGCGCCGGCTTTTGTCGAGCTTGACATCGACCATCGACCGCTCGTCAGCATCTTCGAGGACAATGTCAATGTCGACCGGTGTCGCAAAGAAGTAAGACATTGTGTCTGTTGTGGTGATTTTCAAGAGGGAGCTGGCGCGAAGCACCACCCGTGGGATGGATGAAGAGAGCTGGCGAGGGACCGGAAAGGGGTATTTGAATGCGCAGCGCCCAATCGTTATCTCTCGGATGCCAAAAAATAGAAAGAAAGGTCCACGGAGGTACGGAGGGAGCTGATCGTATTGACCGACTAGGACCCAAGTTGGTGGACGAAGCGTTTGTGAGTTGACCGATCGGTTGTTTATGTTCAAGCAATGAATGCAGGTAGCTGACGATAGGCTTCGCGTTCCACTTTGGCAGTGAGTCTGAGTGGTCGTCAGCAAGCCAGGCAGACAGCTCTGAGCCTCGCAGCCAGCTGCGCCGAAGTGGGGGGCTTGGGACCGTACCGCACGGCCCGGTAGCCAATGGTACGGCTGCACGGTTATAGCTCCCCACGACCACAGCTGCGAAGATCACCCCGTCAGTCGCGACTGGCATTTGTCACTACCCGACTGGCTATCGATGAACATCATGATATCGAAGGACATAATAAGAATTGCGTTTCACGGTAGCACTATAGGGTAATGGCTTTGTAGATAAACATACATTCATAAGCGGAAAGAAAAAGATTTAAACTCAAGTATTCTACCTATTCAACATCCTCACCGTGAACCTGACCCGGGAAACGGTATTCTCCTTTTGAAGGTGAAGCGTATAGATGGCTGCGGCCCCTCCAGGTAAATTGGTATACGGGTAGACTAGAACTAGCTTTGCCTTGAGTTGCGATAGAACCTATAATTTAGTTGGAACGTATCTTGAAAGCCGGCACGCATCACTGAGGAAATAAATGTCTTCGACAGAACCAAGGGTCCAGCCAGAACTTCCAGTTGTTGGAGAGCCTCAGCTGCGCTTGGAAGGGAGGTTGAAGTTGGTTGGACTCTCGCGCACAGACCATTTGACCCCACAACCCCCAGCACCCTCCAGCTGGTTCCGTTCCAGCCAATGGCAGAAGCCCTTGGTCCCTCTGCCCTAAGAAAGTGCAGCGCGAGGCCGGCACACACAACTCGAATTATTCCGGCTCCCAAAATCGACCAGTTTTTTTTCGGGCCTGCAACACCATCTCAGTCCACCCTCGACGACGAGAACTGACACCTCTTCCCTCCTCACACCCATACCGACGGCAAGATGCGTTACATCCACAGTGAGGAGACCTTGGAGGTTCCTGAGAACGGTACGTTGTGCCCAATTGCTCCTATTTTCTTTCGGTCGGCCCGGCCCATAGACGGAATGCGAGGAGAAATTATGGATTGGGGACTGCGACGAGGAACGCCGATATCTCGAATTGGAAAGAAAGCTATGGAGAGCCGGGATTGAATTTGCTTGGGAATTTGGGGATGGAGGAAACAAGCTTGCGACAAATTGCTGACGGTCCTAATCCCACATGCAGTCAAGGTCACCATCAAGTCGAGACTCGTCACAGTCGAGGGCCCCCGGGGCAAGCTCACGAAGGACCTCAGCCATCTCGCCGTCAACTTCTCCGTATTGAAGAAGAACGTTATCGGCATCGAGATCCACCACGGCAACCGCAAGAATGTCGCCACTCTTCGTACCGTCCGGACGCTCATCAACAACCTGATCATCGGTGTCACCAAGGGCTTCAAGTACAAGATGCGTTACGTCTACGCCCATTTCCCCATCAACGTCAACGTCGACAAGAACGCCGAGACTGGCTGCTGGGAGGTTGAGATCCGGTATGTCTGAGTCGCAGAAGGAACCCGGGTCCGATGGGGGAATGCGGGATGAATCTGTGGTGGAAGTCTTTAGGCACAGAAATATTGACGTGTTCTCTGCAGTAACTTCATCGGCGAGAAGATTGTCCGGAAGATCGTCATGCAACCCGGTGTCGATGTCGAGATCTCCAAGGCGCAAAAGGACGAGCTGATCGTGTACGGCAACTCTCTTGAGAGCGTCTCCCAGAGCGCTGCCGATATTCAGCAAATTTGCAGAGTGCGGAACAAGGATATTCGTAAGGTGCGTTATCTGCTGGAAACCTCAGCTCAGCTCGGCAGCCATGTGATGGCCTGTCAAGACAAGTGTCAGTTTGCTAACTCGAAGCCCCACAGTTCTTGGATGGTCTCTACGTCTCCGAGAAGGGCAACATTGTGGAAGAGTAAATGGACATGCGACCACGGGGTTTCTTTGTGCTTTATGGGTCTACCGGAGTGGCAAGGGGTCAATGGCATTTGCATGTTTTGTAGCGTAAAAACCGCTACTACAAAATGGGTGACCTTTTTGAACAATCAACTCTTCCCGGTCCACATACATCACCAGCTGGTCTATTCCGATATCATTACTTCGGAGGTTCCGTCGTTACTTTCAGCGAGTGATGGCAGTGTATAGTTTCTCGGCGTCAAGTCCTGGATACGGCACCAGGCAGACTGAGGGCAGACCAACGTCTTTTAAAAGACACATACTCTTTTTGTGGGTGATGCCACTGAGGGATAACCGACTCGATCAATACTTCAGACTACTACAGTGCCTCCTGTCCTTCCCATTTTCGATTCCAATATCTGACCAGTTTACTGTTTTCATCAAGGGCAACACTATGATTGGAGCTATCCCATAGGCTGTCCCAATACGTCAACCCCCTATTGCTCATGTTAAACTCCGTTTTAATTTATTTCGATGGAAGTCGGCCGCTACAGCGCTAGACATCAAACCACCATTCCAGGGTCATGCCATTATATCTGGGGGTGGTCGACGGACTACGGTCCCGTAGAGTGCCTTGGGTAGCTAATCATAAGAAACTGTCGTCCTGTAATTAGTGTTATTGGAAACGTAATCTCATTACGGGGTAGATACAGATACACACATACCACGAGAACACTCGTCGAGAATACTCGAACATCGCCCATGAGATCAAAACTCAACACCGTTCGTCTAACCTCGAACTTTCATGTGTGCCATGCTCTCGCGCAAGGCACTATTAGTAAACACAAGCGAACCAAAACATCTAGGAAGAAAACATATTTCCCTCATCTGACATCTTTCATTCAGCTCGCTTGGTTGGTATCTAGTAGTGCGGTGGTAACTCGTGTCTCTACATCTGCCTCTTCGTCCCTGACCTAGTTCTTCCTCCTCATTTCCTCCTTTCTTCCCTAGACGGAGAAATCTCAACAAACCCGGTATCATGCAAAAATATTTTTACAAATGCCTCCTGAATTTGATAACGCCGATGGGTGGAAAAGGGGTAAAAAGGTCGGGGGCATGCGGTTATCTAACGGGTTCATCTTGTGTTTGTATGTACTCAAACATGTGACCAAAAATATGGGGAGGGGGGCGAATTAAACTTTCGCTTTGCAGAGAACGCGAAAGTTATAGTCAGATGAAATAAAAAGTGACGAAGCCACCCCTCCGA